ACATCCCTCCCTGCGCTCCGCAGCTCCTCACTTCACCCCCAGTGGCCGTCCATGCAGTTGGCAAGCCCCCTTGGACGGGTTCCTCATAGTCACCTGCGCCGTGCCGCCAAAGTTGCACGCCTCGCTCGTCTGCCCCTGCTTCTGGAACCATGCGTTATACACCGCAGTCGCTTTCATCTCCGCGCCGCACTTGCTCCCCACCCTCGCACAATCCAGCCCTCCCCCGCCCTTCGAACACGCCCACGACACCCCGCCGCCCACCGCCGCGTCCGTAGCCGTCGGATTCCGCACGCACCACATCTTGGGCGGCTTCGACGGCGGGAGATTGCTCCCCGTGCCCAGCACATCAAGCTCATACTTCTTCGTGCCATTAGCATAATACAACCCAAAGTGCAATTCAAACTGCCCCGGGGTGGTATCCTTGAGATCCTCGTCAAAGAGTTCGAATAGGAAGGCGCGGATGGGAGTGCCCGGGCGCTTGGGCGTGCCTCGTAGGGAGTTGGCGCGGGCTAGAAAGCCCGTGGTCCAGCGCTTGGAGTTTAGGAGCGTGGCTGCTGGGTTGCCCCCTGTGGGCCACCCTGCCTCTCCGACTGCATGGAGGGAGGTGGGGAAGAAGGGAGGGGGGAGGGAGGACGAGGGAGCGTACAGGATGGTGAGGGATGGTTAGGGAAGGGGGAAGGTCGAAGCTGGGCAAGGAGGCAAGGGGCGGAGGAGATGAGCAGAGAAAGAAACGAGCAGGCTACATGGTGATTACCATGGCTTGGAAACTGCACATCCCCCCCTTTCCCCCACCATGCAACACTGCACTCGCTGACGCGCGCTGCCACTCACCCGGCTCGCCCCCTCACCTCTCACTCATTCACGGGACCATGAACCGCACTTACTCAACTCTGACTCTACCCGCCTCACCACGCAGCGTTGCACTCACTCATATAAGGCATGTTGGGGTAGCCGAGCTTCTCAAAGGCCCACACGGCGCCGTCCAGCATGGCGTCCATGAGGTTCTGGTAGTAGCGCCGCCCGTCGTAGAAGCCCTTGTACCCGCGGTACATGGCGTAGTCATAGCTCACCTTCCCCCCCGCGTCCTTGAACGGGAAGAACGGGTAGCAGTTGAGCACCGTGAACGAGCCTGTGGGAGGAAGGGGGGGGATTGGGAACGGGGGAATTGGGGAAAGGCAGGTTTTGAGCCGACTCAAAACATGATAGTCGTAGTTTACCTTGAGTCCGTAGTGGCGACAACGCACTGAAACAAGACCGATTCTATCCCGTCGCATGATCGCATCGCATCCCACCCCCACAGCACCCACGAGCCGCCATCCTCTCTCTCTCTCTCTCTCTCTCTCACCCGTGCGGTTGAGGAACGCGAGCAGGCAGCTCGCCCACATATAGCGGGTCCACGACGAGGCATTGGACCATCCCGTCACATCCCAACGCATCCCACCCCACCGCACCCCACAAAACCGCAACCATGAACCACCTCCCCCGTCTCTCTCACCAGTGCGGTTGAGGAACGCGAGCATCTTGCGCATCTCGCCCACATACAGCGGGTCGACGACGGACTTGGAGGGCGGGTACGTGTTGGCCAGGAACCCCATGTGCTGCGGGTGCACCACCTTCACGCGCCGGTGCAGGCGCCGCGTCTGCAGCGCGCGGTACAGCGCCTCCATGGCGGGGACCACGAGCGTGTACCCCGTGCCCGGCCCCATCAGCTCGTTGCCCACCTGGAGGTGTTTGCAGGGGAGGGAAAGGTGAGGGGGAGCGGGAGCGGGAGCGGGAGGGGGAGGGGGGAGCGGGAGGGGGAGCAGGAGCGGGAGAGGAGGGGGATGGGGTTGGGGAGCGGTACAGCGCCTCCATGGCGGGCACCACCAGCGGGTACCTCGTGCCCGGCTCCATCAGCTGTTGCCCACCTGCGCGCGCGCGGGGAGGTTCGCAGGGGAAGGGGAGAGGGAGGGGTAGGGGACGGGGAGGGGAAGGGGGGGGGGACGGGGAGGGAGAGGGGGAGGTGGAATTAGAAGGGGAAAGAATGGGGAAGATGGAGAATGAGGGAGAGGAAGAAGAGGAGATTGGTGATTCGCTGCTACCGCTGCACCTGAGGGAGACCTGAGAAAGACATGAGATATAGCGAGATGGTTGGGAGTTTGTGATGTGAAGGAAAGGGTGGGGAGGCGGCGTGAGGGTTCGCGCAAGAAGCGGTGGTTGGTGATGATAATGATACACTCATTGCAATATCCGATGCTGATGCCGTTACTAGTAACGCAGATGCATCCCTGAGCACCAAGTCCTCTTTCCCCCCTTTTCTCCGCACCACCACCCGTCACACGTAATCATCCCATGTTTGTGCCGCGCTCCACGTGCGGGGCCCTGTATTCATCCAGCCATCACAGCGGCGCATTCACTTACTTCTCGATCCCTTGTCCACCCACCACACCTTATCGACACTCACCGCGATCGCAATGATATTCGTGCCGCGCCCCACATGCGGGGCCCTGTACTCATCCAGCCACCCCCAGCGCGCATTCACTTCCCCCTCACTCCCGTGTGCACCCGCCAGAACCTATCCAACTCACAACGATGGCGATGATGTTCGTGCCGCGCGTCACGTGCGGCACGATGTACTCGTCCAGCCACCCCAGCGCGCTTTCTCTTCCTTCTCAAAGCCCAAGTGGGGTTCCACCCATCCACCCGCCACACCCCGCCCCACTCACCGCGATGGCGATGATGTTCGTGCCGCGCGTCACGTGCGGCACGATATACTCGTCCAGCCACCCTAGCGCCGCCGCGTCGCTCTTACCGAAGTCGTACAGGCGGTCGTTGGTCACTGACGTCATCACCTGCAGCCCCGTGCCTGAGGTGGGAAGACGGTGCAGGGGGGTATAAGGCGGTGGAGGACGGGCGGTGAGGAGAGAAACAGGAATTGGAATGTAGGCACGAAGGAAGTGGAAAGTATCACGAGAGGGGAAGGGGAAGGAGAGGGCAGGTGGTGATGCGTGCTGGCAAAGGTTGCAAGATACGAACATCAATCATCAATTGTTGGGCTAACGTGCAAAACCGTGCTTTTGTGGATAGCAATGTCGTCCGACGCACCTGCGAGGGCGGATAGGACTTCGGGCACGGGGTAGAAAGTCTTGACTGCCGCGAACCCCCGCTGCTTGACGATCGCGATGGCCGTCTTGACGTCTATCGGTTTGGACATGAGGCTGAGCGACAAGTTGACGCCCACCCACGGCTTCTTCCGCGCCGCTTCAGCCGGGAGCAGCTGCTGAGGCGTTAAGAGATTAACTACGAGAAGTAGTATAGCGGATAGTACGAGACGCCCTGCCGCTGTTGCGGGAGGGCGCCGCGTGGGTAAGGTGACACGTGGCATGCTGAAACTTCCTGCGGCGTGTGCGGTGGTGGTTCGACGAGGCGGTGCTACCTCGTGGCGGTGCGAACGCGATGACGAGTGGATGAAATGAAAGTACTAGTGGACGCACTGTATATGTATGCCGACTAGTGGCCAGTTGTGTCGTCGCACCTTAGTTGCTGGTAACACGCTCGCCGACGAGAGTTACCCGAATAGTAGTAGAGTATAAATAGCAGTTCTTTTGAGGTAATTACCAAATCACAGGCTCGAATGATGACGACACGCCTGCGGAAGCGCTTCGGAGTGGAGGGGATGCACTAACGAGGACGCTACTATGACAGTAGTTGTGATGGAAGCAGAAGCGCAGCGGTCGTCGCAGCGAATGTGACGCTGTGCTATCTGCGATCCGTCCTTGATTCGCGCCGCAGTGCGAGGACGAGGAGAACCAGAGCACCAGAGGAAAAGCGTGGTTCCAGCCGAAGCCTCTGAGTAGACGTCGCTTCACCCAACTTACCCAGTCTAACATGCGTTACACGTCGAACATTAGATATTCGTTGCACGAGGCTCAACTAGGTGCATCTATCTGTGTGGGGAAGAAGTGCTGACCGGTGAGGGACCAGTAGAACCCATGTAAACAGTCTGCTTTTGCGGGAAACGGTAGTCACTATCCTCTCTGTATATGTCTCGAGGACGTTGGCGCGGTTCGCGAAAGTGGCGAGCGTGCAGGGAGGTAGCGAGTACGGGAACTTGGCAAGCTGGAGATGGTGGGAGCGAGCGGGCAGAAGGACTTCCACCGCGCGGCGTTACAGTACCACTACCATGCCGTGTGATGGTGATGCGAGTGATGGGTTGCCGCCAATCCGAGCTTCAAGAATCGCCGTCCCCCCCACAACTTCTTAGTCCGTTTTTCCTTCCCTCCCAAAATCTACACCCCCTCCCAATCTTCTCCCTTCCCCCCACCCCGCCATTCCAGTGGCAGCTGGAATGTGCGATGGAGGCAGGCTCACAGTAGAAGATGACTGCAGTGAGGGTGGTTAGGAAAGACTGGGTGGGGTAGGGTGGGATGGGGTGCGGGTGGAAATTCGGGTCAGCTAAAGTCTATCAAACCTGGCTGGGAGGAGGGCTGCCGAATCGCGTCGGTGCTGAATTTTTTTAGCGTGTCCGGCTGGACATTGAATTGACTGAGGCGACGTGTTCCTGTCGCAAAAGGGACGGACTGACGACTACCACGGTGCGCATGCGACTCGCTGCGATATTGTGTCAGTCGGAAGGTAGCGTGAAGGGAAGAGCGAGGTATGATGCGATGAAGACGTTCATGATGGGAACGAGTCCTAATCTTCTAAGTGGGAAGCTTAGGGCGCGTACAGGGTGGTCCGAAAACCTTTTTCACATTTGACGGCTCAAAGGGGAAAAACAAAGCCATTGCAAGTCAGCAGCAAGAATTGCATAGCAAGATCCATTACGTTATGGGCCCAGCAATTAGCTCATGGACAGAAATAGCATCATTTCCTGATGTTCCTATGCCAACTAATTCTGGTTGCACACTTTTTTATGTGTGGCATTCAGATGTCATAATGTACTACCATTTTAAAGCTTTGTGTGGTACCGGTATGTAGCATGCACAGATTGCCTCCATTCCATATCTTTAATACTTCCTTCAATTCTTCTTCTTGGCATCAGCGGAGGGGTAAGCAGCGACGGACACCCGCTGCACCTCAAATAGCAGGCCAGCAGAGAAGAGAATGCTGCACAGGAGATATGGGAGGGCAATGGCAACCAAAAAAAGGGAAATGTAAGCTGTCAGACAGGCCGGGGCACAGATCAGGTACGAGGGGCAGAATGAGGCGTGAAGCTGGCCGGCTGGGTTGGACACCTAGACGATGGGTGAAAAGCCAAAGAAATGCAAGTAAATCACCATGTCGCTAGGTGCTGCTGGCATCACCAACATACCATGTAGTGGCACAGACTCCATGCACTGAAGCAGCAGCGACTGTGGCAATGAAGAGCGACAAAAATACTGGGGTTGAGAGGAGATGGCGGGCAGGGGGGAGAGACAGGGACGCAAACGAGGGAGGACAGTTAGGGGTAAAGTGGGGTGAGGCTAAAAGATCTCTATAAAAGAAAATCCAGGTAAAAAATGTGATGGAGACAGCAAGCGGGGATTGCTAGATACTTATGGTGGATGACAGGGGGAAATTATAGAGGGGAGACACACAGCCCCATCCGGATGCAGACAGAACAGCAAGGCGGAGAATGAGAAAAGACCTACCAACGCCCCATCCGGATCTTGCTCCCATGGCCTCCTGCATGTTGCTAAAGAACTGCACAACACATATGAAATGCGGGTAATCATGCACGGCGGAGAGCGTAGACATTGGAAGATAGGCGTGTAACTGTACAAAGCAAACAAGTAGCATAGAAAGATAAGCAGGAAACATAGACGGATGTGAGGGAGTGAGAAGTGGTGTGGAAGGATCAAAAGGAGAGGTGAGAGAAAAGCTGATGTCTTGCAAAAGAGGAAGAGAAAGTTTCAATCATGTGGCTGCCGAAGCGGCAATATACTAGCGCGGCCTGGTTCTGTCTGTTCATTCAAAGGCGTTTCCGCATAGCGTCAGTCTCAGCGTATTGGCACAGATTCGACCAAGGTGCCTCGCATGGATAATAGTCCGGACTCGTTCCCAGCGAGGCTCGTCACGAGTACAATTTGGCACATCCCAATCCCGCAAAATCGTGTGAGATCTCCAATCAGACTTTTCTAATCCGCCAACGGAATGACATCCCACCATTCGAACAAACTAACTTCACCCTGCCTGACGAAAATACCCTTTTAACCGGCAATAACATGTACCCCCCCCGTTCCTCCTCTTCCCCCTCCTTTCCCCCATACATCTCCCCTCCCTGCTCCCTCCCCCCCCCTTCTCCCCCCATCGACTACTGACCGTGAGCGCGAGCAGGAAGAGCAGCGCGCTGACGAGGCCGCCGACGATGGTGAGCGGCTTGGAGGACGCGAGCGTGGCGCGGTTCACCTGCTGCAACGACAGCACGATGAGGAACAGAATCACTGCGTACAGCGCTGACGTCTGCGGTGACGTCAGCTTCCGGGCGCCTGCCGCGGGCTGAGCGACTGCTGGGGCTGGCGAGGGAAAAGAGGGAACGGGGGGAGGGTAAGTCAGTGAGGAAGAAAAAAATTGGAGAGGGGGGAGGTGAGGATGGGTGGGAGAGAATGGTGAACGGAGAGGGAGTGGGGAAAGAAGGGATTGTGAAATGATCATTGAAAGAGTGACTTAATGACTCCGGGGAGTGGACGAGCATGTCGCACCATGGAGAAGGATCCAAGATTGAAATGTGACAAGAAACGAGGAATCAGGAGGTGCGTTTGAACTGATCATTCAGTTATCAAGCTGCGATGAACACACGCTTGGAAGAGCTGATCTTTATGCTAAGTGCGGGGATGGGTAAGGAAAGGACTAGATGTGTAGCATAGCAGCACCAATCTGTTGCGCGGTGACCCGTACCCATTGTAGGAGCAGATCTCTGGCTGAAATGCGTCGATGATTGTGCAGGAACGCCGAGATTGGTGGTACCGAAGAAACGGAGATGACGAGCAACACCGCGCAACCGCAGCCAGGACCCCTAGACGCGAGGAGGAATACCTAGAAAATCTAGAAATATTGAGGAGCAATATCGCAAATTCAGGCATCTGGTAGGGGGTCTTGGGATCTGGAACCTCGTTCTCGATATTGGCCTAGTTATGTTTTCACCTCCCGAACCAAGTGAGTACAGCGAGGGATTTCATGCAATATTATGCTTGATCCGGAATTCCATTTGTGTAGGAAGCTGAGAGATATTATTTGAGTTGAGAGTACAGATTCAGTTTTTTTGCTATTCTGAAACAGGATAATAAACAGCATATACGGTATGTACGGACATTGGTTGGAACATTCATTTATTTCTCCCAAGGCTCTGTCAGGATCCAAAATGGGTGTGGCAAAGGCACTTACTGCTGGTATATTGACATGCATCCTGATCTTTCCAACTTCCATCCAGATGCTACAGACTTTTCCGATGTACACGACACAGCATCCTCCATTGTCATGGGGTGGTAAGAAGATAAGAGAAAGAGAGAGGAAGAGAAGGGAAAGAGAAAAGAGACGGGCAAGAGAAAAGAGACGGGAAAGAGGAAGAGAGGAGGAGAGGAACAGAGGAAAGAGGAAGGTGAAAGGAGAGGAAGAAAGGAAGAGACTAAGGGAAAAAAACCGGAAATCAAACCAGTTATTTTTGACAGGCTCACATATTTCCTTGAAAACCTAGCTCTAACGGGCGCCAATCCCAAACAGGCTCTGCGTAGCTTCTGTCACAGGAGCGTGTGCATATTGACAGCGGACATATTATGCCATTCGCGCTTGTCATCCTGTGCGCGGAGCCCTAATCACCACCCCCTGTTCGTCCACGAAAACGCGCACGCGGTCCAGGCGATAGTCGCGCGTCGTCGGTTGATTGTGCCCCACAACCTGTACATTGAGACCACCGCCCTCTGCCTCGATTCTCTGCTTCGCCTCCTCCCCGCACAAGCCCACAAGCTCGGGCCACTCTGTCTTGCCCTGCGACATTCTTTTAGGTCTGAAAGCTGCTGCTACTGCTACTGGTGTGAGCAGTGGCGTGGTAGTGCTGAAGCTAAGCGGCGCACAGGGCAGATGGAAGGACCACGAATGGGTGGGCGTCGTGAAAATGCTGCTGGGGTGCATTTGTGATTCTATGGATTCATTGACGCTTGTAGCGAGAAACTTGGTGTACTCGTTTCTCTACAGATATATATGGCGAACTATGTACTATCACTGTTACCCGCACTGTACCTGGTATGAGCTGCCGTGATAAATGCATTATGAAATAGATCAGAATGAAAGAACCGTATGAACTGATAGAACCAAATGACGGAACCCCTGACGAAGGTCCGAATTACAGGCGTAGCTGTAGCACCTGTCAGTTGCCTCTAGTCTTTCGCTTGTCGAACACGTAGGAGCCAGCTAATGGTCAGATAAAAGCCACTGTCAGACCCACCGTCAGACCACACACCCCTCCGTCCAGTCATCACAATTCTGGCAACTCAGCAGAACTTCCACCCGCTTGTATTGCCCGTCATCATCACGGTTTTCGCCTGCCCGGCCGTCCATTTTCTCGCCATCTCCGCTTCCCCCACCGACTGACGGCCAAACGGTGAGTCCAACAAACGGACCACCCCTTCTCACGGCTCACGTTCCCCCAAGATGAATGTGGAGATGGCGATGATACCCTTCCTTTGTCTTCGTATTTCCCCCAGCCATATCTCCCTCAAGACTAAGGTTGCAGTTTGTCAGCGAAGCTCCTCCACACGCAGCACATGTATTTCTGTTCGGTGCCGTGGAATTGAAGGTAGTCTGTTCTCTCAAGAAACCGTGTTGTCGAACTCCTCTTGCGTGTGCTGCACTCTTAGCAAGCTCTCTTTTTGAGACCTTGTCTGTTTATAAATCTTCACGTAGAACTGCCCAGGATGTTGAAGAATTGGTCTTTCTGTATCCTGCTTGTGCTCGCGACTCTCTTGGTCCCTACTCTCGCTCTTTTGAACGATATTCCTCCAGGTACAGCTCTGGCCGTTTATACCTAGATTCACGCTTCGGAAGTCGCGTTCTTAGCAACACGCTTCGCTTAGTGTCCTAGTGGAGTTAGTCCCATTGGTTACCCTAACATTCTGTCTTACTCGTTTCACGTTCCTCTTCATGGTCTGCCCTCTGGTCCTTGTGAGTGCTAATTTGTTTTCGATATGTATCCGTCTGTTTCAATGCGTCCCACCCCTCAGGTTCTAACATGGACGAGGGTCAGCCGAAGTCTTGGCCAGAGTTGGTTGGAATCCCAGGCACGGAGGCCCGCGAGAAGATTTTGGCGGAGGACCCAACGCTGCAAGTGGGAATCGTCAGGCCGGGCATGATGGTGACGATGGACTACCGCTTGAACCGTGTGCGCATCTACGTGGATAAAGATGGAATTGTGAATCGTCCTCCCACACTAGGCTAGCTGTGTGTCGCACATTCACCTCCGTTTCTTTCGATTTCCAACTCGCGTGCTACTCATCACGCGAGTTACTCTACTCTATTTTACTGGTGGTGGTCAGCCTGCTTAGTATGTGACTTCTCATGTGACGTATTATGGCCTCTTGTTAGGCCCTCTACAGCTTGGGGCGCTTGAATAGTAAAGGCGGGTCCACCTTGATGGTATGTGCATGTTGACTAAAAATCAATATGTTTGTACAAAGTCATGGTCCATTCCAAGCCTGCCCTGCCTAACTGGTTAGGCATGCTAATGATGTAAAGCAATTATTTGGCTGGCCGTAAAACATCAGAGATGTATGGCTTCGCGATCCATACTACATGATGGTATTGTTTATTATTGTGCCACAGTACCGGTAACAGCTCATAACAAGAACCCAATTGTAACCACGGCGAATTTGCTGTGAGAAAGAAATCCTTTTTGTGTCGTAGCGCGGTAACAAATTGCAGCCACCAATGTCCCCTGCCCGGTGTAGAGCGACTATATCGAAAGGTGTCAAGTCGCGCAGTGGTTCAGGCATTGGTTGGCTTGCCCTTTTCCATTTGCGGAATCTCTTGATGGTAAAGAACCTTCAGTTTGAGGTTTTGTCACTACCATTACCCTTCTGAGCTCGAAAAGCTTCTGAATGACGACGCTTCCCGTAAAAACTGCAGAAAGGGCCTCAGCGGATCTGGTTTTCTCGCTAAGAGAGATGAGGCCCTCATTTTAGCATTCCAGTTCCCGAACCCCAGGCAGCTTCTACTTTCCACGCAGAATGGTATCTCATCGCAGAAAATCACGCACGAACACCCTTCACGAGCGCGACGCGGGCCACTTACCACTTCGATGCACCGATCCCATCCCATCTCATCTCGACCAGCATGGGCGAAAGCATTTTGCCCTCCTTCCTCCCTCGCCCTCCAACATCGGCCCTGGGTTTCTGGTGGCAAGCAACCAAGCCCTGGGTTTCTGGTACATGTAAGTCGAAACTTAGACCAGGCTGGAGGGACGCACATGGTTCGTTCAGTTTAGGTTCCCTGCTAACAGCCACACCAACACAGCTCGCTGGTGTTTGTCCGTCACAAGAATCTCGTTCACAGACCGGCTGCCAAGTGTTTAAAGACCGTCTGGGTAGCGGCTAGGGCTCTCACCATTGACTCTTCAAGCTCCGTTTCCTTTCTCTCGAAGAAAACCCGATATACTAACCTCGTATACTAACTATCTGTAGACTCGAACAGACAAAAGGTCGACGGATATAACGTCTAGTACGAGTGCGTGTACCACGCTCGCGCATACGGGGAAGCAAGCGGCACCATGACTCGGGCTCCAAAAGGGCTGTTGCTTGCAGCAACGGTGACGTGCCTCCTCTTTCTACTGCTTTTGGATTCCGCCATGGCCAAGGGCAATGGCCACGCGTTCACTTCCGGCCCTTTGAGCAGTGCGTTTCGCCTCTACCCTTCGCGGCCAACTTCTTTCCGTAACCTCGCTTTTATTCCCCCCAGTTGATGGCGAACCACCCCCATGTTGTTTTCATAATGCCTCCCATGTCTCGCGCCTCTTCCCTCTTCCCCACGCCACTCAGCATGATATCTCACCGCCTCAAGCGCCTTTCAAGTCTCCTTGCCCCTTCACCCACCGCTCCCTACCAGGTCGCGTCAAGTTCCCCAATTTCCAGTCCACTGACCTGCTCCACCTATTCGGCTCGGCCATCTCATACCACCGCAAGGCCGTGCGCCTCACCTCCGCGGAGCACTCCGCGGGCGCGGCCATTCTCCGCACGCCCATCGTCCTCCTCGACCGCCCGGGCAACTCCGCCAACAGCTCCACCTGTCGTGCGCTCGCCTGGAGCTCCATCTTCAACTTCCGCGTGAGCGGGCCCGCGGACGGCTTCGCCATGGTGCTCTGGCCGCGCTTGCGCAACCTGGGCTCCGCAGACGGGTATATGGGGTACGCGGGGGACGTGCGCTACCGCCGCTCGCGCGCGCTGGCTATAGAGTTCGACACGTACCATAACACGTGGGATCCGAAGCCCAGTTACAGCGCCAATGGCGCGGATGGCGGATCCAGGGGCGCGCTCGTGGCGAGCCACGTGGGGATCAACCTGCGCAACTCCGCCAGGTCCCTCTCCGCGGAAACGCTCGTTGCGCCGCTAAACGACACCAAAATCTGGCGCGCGTGGGTGATCTACAACGGCCTCGACCTGGCGGTGTACGTGGGGCGCGGGCGCAAGCGGCCGCGGCGGGCGGTGATGCGTGGAAGGATGAACCTGTGCGCGGTGCTGAAGAAGCCCGGGTTCTTCGTGGGGTTCACCGCGTCATCCGCAGGCTCCCCCGCCGTGCACGACATCCTCAGCTGGACCTTCTCAGTCTCTTGTGAGTTCGGCCTGTGCTTGCCGGGGGTCGCTTCGCGTGGTCTGTCCACAGGTCTTCGAAACGAGGGTTCACAGGCCATGAGAGCATAAGGAGAACCTTATGTAGCGTGAGCTAACTTCTGGCCTTCCTGTCACTAGGCGTTGAGGGTCATTCGTAAGCCCTCCCTGGTCCTCCCTCCATGCTCCCCATCATCCAAACCATTCCCTCTCTTCCCCTTCCCCCCCCTCCTCCCCCCCCAATTACCATCCCCACATCCGCTCTCTTTCGTCCCTACCCTTTCCCCTGGCGTCGTTCACTGATATAACCAGCGGCGGTATCGCAGCTGTGTCCCACGTGCCTGAGCACCACAGAGACCAAGACCGCCGTGGCGTGTTGCTCGCCCTTCCGCTGCTGCAACGGCTACTGCCTTGCGCCCACTGAGCTCTGTGGCGGCAGCAAGTGCTGCGGCAGTGTGAGTGCCGTGCACGCCTCAACCTCGTTTTTTAACAGACTCACCGTCGCTTCCCTGCTGCACAATTACATGCCGTTTCTGAGATTTTCTCCCCCCTCCTTGCCTGTGTTGGTGGTTGCATGTGCAGCCTGCGAATGGGCGAGTGTGCTGGGCGAACAGGTGCTGCAGTGTTACCAGCATTTGCATGACCAGGGAGAGAAACCCTGTTTGCTGCAACCAAGTTGGCAACAGCACATGCTGTTTATAACCGCCCTCCTTAGAGTAGCACCCTTCTACTGTATTCCTTCTTGGATGGACACACTCCGTGTCCATATACCGGTGTTGCTCCTGTAATGATGAGTTTATTATTCAATGTAGGTAGAAGCATTATGAAATAAATTCTTTGCATGCTAAGTTCACCTTGATTAGTTTCACCTTTGGTCACACATGGCATTGCTACTCATCATCACAGTTATCACAATTTCCAGCTCCAGCAGGCAGTGGCAATGCATTTATGACTCTGGGATTTTCACACTCATTGCCATGATGGCAATGCCATCGCTCATCCCCCTTCGCTTGGGAAATTTTCCATGCCACTCGTTGCAATTACTCATTCACCCAAGCAGCAGTGGCTCACCCACTCTTATGGCAGCAGCTGTCAAATGTAATTCTATGCTTGTAGGCTACAGTGAGTAGCACAATAGGGAGTACAGTTGTTAGGGTTGCATATTTGTACTCTCACACTTTCTAGTTTCGTCTCATTCCGTTGCATTCCTATTCTAAGATGGTATCACGAGTAGGTTAGATCCTCGTTCCTTTTTAGCCAGCCTCCGCGCCCTACGCGCCCTCCATGCTCTCGCGCCCTCCGCGCCCTCCGCGCCCTCCTCGCGCCTAGCCCGCGCTGTCCAGCCTATCGCGCACCCTCCTTAGACCTCCGCGCGCCCTCCTTCACCGTTGCGCGCCCTCCAAAACCGTCGTGCGCCCTCCTTAGACCGCCGCGTGCCCTCCCCTCCGCCTGTCGCGCGCCCTCCTCCGTCAACGCTTCCCGCACACCTGCATGCGCTTCCCGCACATCAGCGTGCGCTTACCGCACACCTGCGTGCACCTACCGCACACCTGCGTGCGCTTACCGCACACATGCGTGCACTTACCGCATCACTCTGTGTGCGCTTCCCGCACACCTGCGTGCCCTTCCCGCACACCTGCGTGCACTTACCGCACACCTGCGTGCACCTACCGCACACCTGCGTGCGTTTACCGCACACCTGCGTACACTTACCGCATCACTCTGTACGCTTACTGCATCTCTCTCCCCTTCACCTGTGCACCGGTCCCACGCCATTCCTACTGCACTTGGCTCCCGGCTCAGCGGCTGGCAGCCGCTCTTCCCTCCGATAGCGCCATCTAGGTCCGGTTAGAGCCCCGCCTCACGACTATTTTCTCGCCGACTGTCTCTCGTCGGTTTCCCCGCTGGCGTCCCTAGCGCTCTGTAGTTTTCCTCCTCGTTCTTAGCTCCGCCTCCGCCGTGCTCCAGTCGCCTCTAGCATGGGCTCCGCTATGGAGGCCCGTCGCCTCCGTTTCGATGCTGAGGGACGCTCGATCGAGTTCGGTACCTGGCATCGCCAGACCACACGTTTCCTCAGCAGCCAGCGTCAGGATGGCGCTACTCCGTGGGCCCACGCATCGGGTGCTCTCGCGGCACCCCCGTCCCCCGCCGCCCTGCCGACCGCCCCGGAGCCGACTCCTACGGCCTAGGCGGACTACGACCGTCGGGTCCTGGCTCGGGACGTGTGGCTCTCTCGTGACGCGGCCGCCGCCCTCACGCTATCGGAGCTTCTCCCCCCGACTGAGGCCGCTCACTTTGACCAGGTGGAGACAGCCAAGGGGGTTTGGGATGCTATTGTGGCTCGCTATTCCACCCCCTCCTCTGCCTCCCTCAGTCGCCTCCTCATGCCGTTCGTGTTTCCCGACCTAGGCTCGTTTGCGACTGTTTCCGACCTAGTGACTCACCTCCGCTCGCTTGACGCCGGTTTTCGTTCGGCCTGTACCGACGCACAACTCCTTGTTGCTCCCCCCCCCCATGTGGCTCACTGTGCACTGGTTAGTCACCCGCCTCCCTGACCGCCTTGCTACTGCCCGCGACGCGCTTCTTCAGAAGCACCCCACTGAACTCACTATAGACCTCCTTCAGGCTGCTCTCGGGACCATCAAGAACAGCCTCCTTATCGTTGCCTCCGCCACTGATGCGGTGGCCCCCCGTCTCTTAGCGGGGTGTGCCGCCCCTCAGCTTCCCACTTTCACCGCTACCCGCGCTTCTGCTGCTGTGTCGGTCTCTGACGGCACCGCTGCCGTAGACTGGCAGAAACGGGGCAAGAGTGGCAAGAAGGGCGGGAAGGGGGGAGGTGGGGGCGGAGGAGGTGGCGGTGGAGGGGGCGGTGGAGGTGGGAGCGGCGGTGGTGGTGGAGGCGGCAGCGGCCGCGGCGGTGCACCAGGGGGAGGGGGCCTTGGAGGAGGCGCAGGACAGAGAGGTCCACCCACAGGTGGTGGCCCAACCGGTGGGGGTGCTGCCCCCCAGCAGCACCAGCCACAGCAGCACCAGCCACAGCAGGGACAACATCAGCAGCAGGGACAGCAGAAGCAGCAGGCACCGCAGCAGTTCCAGCTCTTGGGTCCCGCGCCGCAGTGGGGTCCGAGAGGCCCTAGGAGCACCGGCCGCAGCAGCAGCTCTTCCAGCTGGGCCCCTCGCCCCCCTCGCCGTGACGTTGGCCCTTGCACCCACTGGTGCCTCACCGGGCCGGGCAGCCCCTGTCTTTCTGGTCGCAGCGACCACTCTGCCGCGCGGTGCTTCCGCCGCCTCGACGATCTCTACCGGGCTCGTTGGGGCCCCCCTGGCGGTCACGCCTCGCTGGTCTCGTCTGTTAACCCGTAAGATTGATGTCTTTGATTTGTCCATGGACGATGCGCGTCAGCATGCTTTGTATGTTGATGCTGAATTTAGTGCTGAGGGATCTGTGTGCTCGCGTGTTTTTAGTTTAGCCTGCTTGCCTCCTGCTAGTGTAGCCTTGTGCCTGTCTAGCTTAGGTGCTTGTGTTGCTGCTCTAGGTGCTTGTGTAGCGTCTGGGTCAGGTGACCCTCCGGGTGAGGCCTCTCTGTCGTTCACGCTGAACTCGGGCGCGTCTCAGTGCTTCTTCCGCGACCACACGACCCTTACGCCACTCCTCACTCCTGTGTCAGTGGCTCTGGCTGATCCTACCTCTGGACCAGCCGTTGCGCGTAGCTCCACCACCCTCCCGTGCCCTGTGGTCCCCTCTAGTGTCCTGCGTGGCCTCCATATCCCCTCGTTCACTCGGAACTTGGTGGGTGTTGGATACCTCCAGGACAGGGGGATCACGGTTACCTTCGTGGGGGGTGGGCGGACTGCAGTCTGTACAGACGCTACCACAGGTGCTGTTCTGGCCACGTTCACCAGGGAGCCCCGCTCCGGTCTCTATGTTCTCCACACCGAGCGCTCCCCAATCGTGTCCTCCCCTCAGGTCGTTGCGTCCCCTCCGGCCCAGGTCCCCAGTCAAGTTGCGGTGTCTAGCCAGGTAGTCGTGTCCGGTCCGGTCGCTGTGTCCAGTCCAGTCGCTACGTCTTGCTCCTGTTGCTCTCTAGCCCACCGCACCGTCCTGTGTCACCACCGCCTTGGCCACCCGTCGATCCCTCGCCTTCGTGGCATGCTCAGTCAGGGACTTGTCACAGGTCTCCCACGCACCTTCCCGTCGCTCCCTCCCTCGCTTGCCCCTTCTTGCTCTCCGTGCGTCGCTGGTCGCTTACGCGCCACTCTCCACTCCTCCTCCCTTCGTCTGGCCACCGCTCCCTTTGAGACTCTCCACTTGGACGTCTGGGGCCCTGCCCCGACGCAGGGGTCTGGGAGGGAGCGTTACTTTCTGGTGGTCGTCGACGACTTCTCCAGGTACACCACAGTGTTCCCTCTTGCGAAGAAGTCCGAGGTGACTGCTACGCTGATCAGGTGGCTTCTAGCCACTGAGGCACTCATGGTCGTCGAGTCAGTTGTCCCCACTCCGGCCGTGAGGGCGAGTTTTGCTCCGGCATTCTTGGCGGATTCTGCGGCGAACAGGGCATCACCCAGTCCTGGACGCTGCCAGAGTCCCCACAGCAGAATGGGGTTGCTGAGCGCCGCATAGGCCTGGTTATGGACATCGCCCGCACGTCCATGATCCATGCCCGTGCGCCCCATTTTCTATGGCCCCACGCAGTTCGCTTTGCCGCACACCAGCTGAACCTCCAGCCGCGTCTCTCGCGGCCCGAGGCTTCACCGACCAGTCTTTGGACTGGGTCCCCTGGTGTTGGGTCGGCCTTTCGAGTCTGGGGCTGCCTTGCACTTGTTCGCGACACCTCCGCGGACAAGCTCTCGGCACGCGCCGTCCCCTGTGTCTTCCTTGGTTTCCCAGTGGACTCTGCCGATTGGTCCTTTTACCACCCGCCCCTCCACCAGTTCCTAGACTCCCGTGACGTCCGGTTTGACGAGTCTACGTCCTACTACACCCGGTACCCCTGTCGAGGTCACCCGGTATCCCCTCCCCCCCTTTTCCTAGCACCCTCTCCTCCTCCTGCTCCTGCTCCTCCGGTACCCCCTCCCCCCCCTAGTCCTGCCCCGTCTGGTGTGTCCCACGCTACCCCTCTACCCTCGGTCGCGCGTCAGGTAGCGTCTCCCTCCCCGCAGTCCTCCTCACAGTCCCCTCAGTAGCCTTCGGCACTTACGCGACAGGTTCCTGTGGACCTCGTTGGTGTTGGAGCTGGAGGTGCAGCTGCTGGTGGTACGCGGTCTGGAGGTGCTCGATTGCGGGGTGCTGGAGCTGGAAGGGCTGGTGCAGGTGGCGCTAGCTCTGGGGGTGCTAGAGCTGGGGGTGCTGGAGTTGGAGGTGCTAGTTCTGGGGGTGCTGGAGTTGGGGGTCCTTACACTAGAGGTGTTGGTTCTGGGGGTGTTGAGTCCGAGGAGACTGGAACTGAAGACCCTGGTTCTGCGGAGTCCACTCCGCCTCCCCACCGCCACGACACGTGTCTCCAGGCTGCCCGTCGGCGTGAGCGTGAGGAGCAGGAGCGGTTGGAGAGGGAGCGGCAGGAGCTGTGGGTGCTGGACCTTCTGGAGCAGCAGCGGCAGCAGCAGCAGCCGCAGCCACCGCCGCAGCCACAGCACCGGCAGCCGCAGCCGCCTCCGCAGCTTCCTCTGGAGCGGCAGTTGTTCCCACCTGTGAGTGGCCTGCGGGCCCTGGCCTTTCCTCCTCTCCTCCTGTCCGATCCCAGTCTCCTCCTGTGTTTGTTCCTCCGCTGCCTCCTCCTGACGACCGTCCGGCGGTCTGGTCTTCTCCTCCTCCTCAGTCTCCTCCTCCTTCTGTCCGTCGCGACTTGATCACCCGTTGTCCTCCGCGTGCTCGTCACTCGTCCCCTGTTACTGACCTCCACAATGCCCTCCTTTGTTCGTCTGGTCGTCGTTCTCCTTCTCTTGTGTCCGTTCTCCCGTCTCCTCCTCCATCCTCTCTCACAGCTCTCCCCATTCCTATCTCTGACTACTACCGCGCTGTTCGTCCTGTTGCTGCACGTGTCCTCGCCACTCTTGTCACCAACTCTCGTTTCCCTCCGTCGTCTGCCTCGGCTCTCACTGCCGCTGTCGCTGAGTTTGCTGCCGCCAGCCGCCTTGACATACCGACTCTTCGCACTTACCGCGAGGCAGTGTCAGGGGCGTGGGCCTCTTAGTGGAAAGCGGCTATGGACTCAGAGTTGGTGTCTTGGAGATCCACAGGCACCTACGTCGACGCAGTTCCCCCTCCCAGGGCGAACGTAGTCGATGGCATGTGGCTCTTCAAGGTGAAGCGGCCGCCTGGAGCACCGCCGGTGTTCAAGGTGCGCTACGTGGCTAGGGGCTTCAATCAGCGTGAGGGAGTTGACTTCTTCCAGACCTTCGCCCCGACCCCGAAGATGACTACTCTTCGGGTGCTACTCCACATAGCAGCGCAGCGAGAATACGAGCTGCACTCCCTCGACTTCTCCACTGCGTTCCTCCAGGGCCGACTGTACGAGGAGATCTGGCTGCGTCGTCCTCCTGGCTTCACTGACACCTTCCCACCTGGGACCCAGTGGAGCCTGAGGCGACCAGTCTACGGTCTCCGCCAGACGCCCCGTGAGTGGCACGATACTCTTCGCTCCACGCTTCGTGACCTTGGGTTCAACCCGTCGCTATATGTTCGAGCGGGTTCTAATCCTTTCTTTATCCTTGTCTACGTCGACGACTTGGTGTTTGCTACCGCAGACAGGGCAGTCATGGCTCAGGTGAAGTCCAAACTGCAGAAGAGACATAAGTGCACTGACCTGGGTGAGCTGCAGCGCTACCTTGGCCTGCAGATCACCAGGGATAGAGCTGCTCGCACCATCACACTGACGCAATCACACATGGTGCAGTAGGTCCTTCGGCGGTTCGACTTCCAGTTCTCCACCACACATCCTACTCCTCTTGCTGTTGACCACCGACTCACTGGCCCCTTTCCTGACGAGCCCTTTGAGCCCAGTGGTCCCTACGCAGAGCTTGTGGGCTGCCTCATGTAACTGATGACTTGTACTCGGCCGGACCTCGCCTTTCCCCTCAGCATCCTCTCTCGCTTTGTTGCGACTGAGAGACACCGTCCTGTCCACTGGACAACTGCTGTGAGGGTGGCGAAGTACCTGGCGACTACATCAGGTATGGGGCTTGTGCTTGGAGGGACTCAGGCAGTGGCGTTCACTGGTCACTGCGACTCTTCCTACGCTGACTACGTGGAGACTCAGCGCTTGACTCAGGGTTACTACTTCAGTCTGGGAGCTGGTGCTGTGTCGTGGAGGTCTACATGGTCGTCGTCTGTGGCTACTTCTAGTGCAGAGGCAGATATCTACACTGGTGCTATGGCGGCACAAGAGCTTCGTTGGTTGACCTTCTTGCTCACCGATCTTGGTGAGCGGCCTCGCTCTGCACCGACCTTGTACGCTGACAACAAGGCCATGATTCTCCTGTGTCGAGAGCCTCGACTGGAGAGCAGAGTGAAGCATATTGACGTGAGGTACTTCCTCCTGCGAGAGCTGCAGCGACGCGGCCAGGCACGCCTCGACTTTGTGGCCTCAGAGGCCAACACTGCAGACGTCTTCATCAAGGCCTTTGCGCTTGGTGATCACCTCAGGTTCTGTGTGCAGTTGGGGCTTGTTGAGGTAGGCCCTCGGTTGTTGTAGTCTTGTTGTTTGCTCTGCTTGTTGTGCTTCCTATTTATATCCTAGTGAACTCTTGAACTGGCCTTGTGGCCGCTTTCTTGCGCTCAGAAGTTGTGTGGTGTCCTTGAGATCCACCCTGAGCTTGCCTTGTTTTTTGTCTTGTGACCGTTTGTTCACCTTGCTTGCTTTGATGACCCTCACTTAGCCTATGGGGGTGTGTCAAATGTAGTTCTATGCTTGTAGGCTACAGTGAGTAGCACAATAGGGAGTACAGTTGTTAGGGTTGCATATTTGTACCTACACTTACTAGTTTCGTCTCATTCCATTGCATTCCTATTCTAAGAGCAGCATCTATGACGAGCGATGCTGATGTTGTATGGGCCGAACGAGAAAAGATGTCACAAGAGGAAGGGTGGCCCTCCATGGATGGATATTCCATACATGGCAGATCCACAATAGCGTAAGCAGTTGCAGTAGTTGCATAAAATTGCTGTTTTGTACAAGTTGTATACATAAGTTTAGGCAAGATGGATGAAAATTTCTTTGAATAGTGTAGACCATACCCAGTCGGTGATTGGCCATTTCCTCCTCATCGCGTTCAGCGTCAAACCATACCAGAACTGAGCACATTCCCCATCACCGCAAGTCCCGCTGTTGGGCCCTCAACGCGATACCTCATCACGGGGAGCCGTGATGACGTGGAGTGTGTGCACACGCATTAATCTCGACTCTTGGGGCTCATTACAAAACCAGGGTTATGAGCGATTACGCACGCAATTGCGTGATACTGCGGTTGATTGCGGCGATGACATCCTCGGACGCGTTTCCCCAAATATAAGCTGTGGGGGACGTGTTCCAAGTTCCAGCCCGTCGCAACGGACCGCGTTGAGCGTCAAACAACCCCGACCCCGGCTCCAGTTGTTACACCGTCCCAGCGCCACCCGCTCCGCCACATTGTTACAGTACCGAGCTGAAGCCTGCGCAGTGCTACTTCAAGTAACACAGTCGCGGCATGATGACCATGACGCTCACACCCTTACGCCTTTACCTCCTTCCCGACGAAGCTCGAATCGCCACTGCTATCACTACTAATAGAGCCCTCAGGTGCTCTTGTAGTGATAGTGTCTTGAACCGCTGTTTTGAACAGGCAGTCCGAATCTTACCACCGTTACTAGTTGTAACTCCCACGGCTTTCAAGCCGGACAGTCGTGCTGCCAGATTATCTCCACCCGCCGAGTCGCCATCCACAAGCAGAGCGAGAGCAACTTATCGTCACGTGGTCCGCGGCTTTTATTTCACGCTGGGACCGCAAGCTTCGTGCTACAATTCGGCTGTTGGAACTTCCAAGTTGTACGATTTGCTCGTTTCCCGCAGCGTCCCCCGCGGCGTCCCCCCCGGCACTCAACACGATCATGGCGCCGCCTATTACTAAGAAACGGCGGGCTCCGCCGCAGCGCCGCGCGCCTGCGCTCGCCGCGTCGCCGTGGCCGCGCGCCGCGGTGGTGGCAGCGGTGGTGGTGGTGATCGCAATGGCCGGCGTTACGGGGGTGGTCGGCGGTCCGTTCCTGCAGGAGTCCCAAGGTGTGTCGCGCTATGGCGTGATACGGGCACGCCCCTTTTGCTGTCCCGCCTTGCCTCTCGCCAATCCTCTCGCCATGCTTCTAGTTCAGTAGTGGTACTCGGAAAGCTCAGTGCGCACCCGGTGGTACTCACTTGCTTTATCTCTCCTTCTCCCTCCTCCCTTCCTCCTTCTCCCTCCTCCCTCCTTCTCCCTCCTCCCTCCTCCCTCCTCTCTCCTTCTCCCTCCTCCCTCCTTCTCCCTCCTCCCTCCTTCTCCCTCCTCTCTCCTTCTCCCTCCTCCCTCCTCTCTCCTCCCTCCTCCCTCCTCCTCCTTCTCCTCCTCTCTCCTTCTTCCTCCTCCCTCCTCCCTCGTCCTCCCTCCTCCCTCCTCCTCCCTCCTCCCTCCTTCTCCCTCCTCCCTCCCCCTCCCACGCCAACGCGCAGTGCAATTCCTGCGGGACTGCCAGGACGCGTGGGGCAATCCCTCCATGACGTGGTCGGACTACTCCGACTGGGACTGCAGGATGCTCGAGTTCGTCTACTGCGACCGAAGCGGCATGATTGTTGCCCTGTGAGACCAGGCTCCAGCTACCCCTATCACTACAAGTAGTTCCTATCTAGATTTTTTTTCCAAGTGTTTTCCAAGTCTTTCGGCATGATGATTTCCGTGTGAGACCAGCCAGCCAGCCAGCCAGCCAGCCACCACAAAACCACGGCATGCTCGTTCGTTTTCTTGCATGGAAAGCGGATAGTAGATCTGCTATTTGCTGAGAAACGCATGACGTGAGCTGAACCGCAGTGGCATGGTATGAATGTCACACAAGATGCTGTTGATTGATGACAGACGGTTGTCAGACAACCCACCCATGTCATGGCTTGGCACGGCATGGCATGGCAGCAATCGGTTTGCGATCAAGCTGGTTAGCGTCGCATCCAACCATGGTCCGACCTAACGATTGCTGGCTGCAGCCTGCGCTGCAGATAAGGTTAAGATGCCGTTCTGACTCAGAATTCGAAGGGCTGCAGTACGTGAAGGTGACGCTGTAGCAACAGGATCAACACCAACGAGAAATTAAAATAATAATAAAAAAAGGCCGCCTGCCCAGCCCGCGCTGCAGATAACGTTAAGATGTCGTTCTTGTATAGTGGGTACTAGTACTACTACTACTACTGCTAGCGCTCCCATCTCTTCCCACAGCGCACCTGTATTCCGCCCACCCGCACTCAACTGCAGGACCAACCAATCTCATCTCATCCTTTTGAGAAGAAGAAGAAGAAGAAAAAAAAAAAAAAAAAAAAAAACGGAACCACTGCATTTCATCCCATCCCATCCCAGTGACCCACCGGCAACGATGTGCGCAAGCAAACCATGGTGGTGACAAATTGACGCTGATGGTGGTATCCTACCCTGTTGTTGTGTTGTGCTGATGGTGCTGGTGGTGATGGTGCTGGTGGTGATGGTGCTGGTGGTGATGGTGCTGGTGGTGATGGTGCTGGTGGTGATGCTGTGTTGTGCTGATGGTGCTGGTGTGGTGTGGTGGCATGGCAGGGATATTGTGAACATGAACGTGGAAGGGCCCATTCCCGAGTCCATCAGCAGCCTCCACAAGCTCGAGTTCCTGTTCGTTTTTCACTGGCCTGCTGCTTCTTTTAATTCCCTCCACTCGTTTGTCCCGACTCCCGTTCGCTCAGCTGTCACTCTACTCATTGTGCTTCCCGCCCGGCTCGCTCAGCTGGTATGGTCCTTATGCTCCCATGCTTGCCGCTGCTTCTCTTGTTTCTTGCTGCAAACTTTGGCCAGCGGTTGCTGCAGTTCTCGCCTCTCAAGCCCCTCCTCTCCGCTCTCCTCCCCTTCCTTCCCCTACCGTCTCTCCCCCTTCCTTTCCCGTCCCCCCTCCCTGGACCACCCTGCCTTATCCCTTCACTCGTCCCTTCCCTCGTCCCACCAGTGGGTTGTCACAGCGAGGCATTATCGGCCCATTGCCAGAAGGCATAGAAAGCCTTACTTCGCTTCAGATCTTGTAAGCCAATACACTCAGCAACTCTGAAGTCGCACGTGTCTGTCCGCTAGCTAGCAAGCACACATGCTTGCTTCTGCAGCACTTTATTATTTCTGCTCTGCTCGCGCAGGCTTCCGAAAGGTCCGATCAGCTTGCTTCATGGCCATGCTTTGTTGTGGAGCATGCTCAGCTTTGTTCGTCATGAGCCAAGCGAAGGTGTTTTTTGGGGCGCCTAAAAAATTATCATCCTTTGTGATGGTGTGCAGCACGTTTCAGATTTGTCCTTCATGAGCCAAGCTGATCAGCAGCGTGTCCCTCTCCTCTCCTCTCCTCTCCTCTCCTCTCCTCTCCTCTCCTCTCGTCTCATCTCGTCTTTTGCTGTGGGCGCCCTGCCCCGCCCGCCTGTGGTTGTCGGATCCAGAGACTTGAGTCGCAACACCGGCATTTCTGGGCCCATGCCAACAAGCATTCTCAATCTCAACCGCCTCACCTACTTGTACACCGCACAACGCTCTTGCTTCCATGCTCCAATGCTCCGCCAGTCCGTCCGTCCGTCCGTCCGTCCGTCCGTCCTTCCCTCCCTCCCTGCCCTCCCACGGTGTGGCATGCACGGCCCTCACATGCACCTCTTTGCCTGCACACCACCGCAAGCACTCATCAGCAACTACTATTGCCTGTTGCTCTCTCTCCATCTCATGCATTCGCTTCCATTCCACAAGCTCCGCCTACCACACACACTCTCCCCTCCCTCCCTCCCTCCCTCCCCGAGTCACTGAAAGCTTGCCCAACGCAGCCCTCTTCTTTGCCTTCCCCGCTTTTGCCCATCCCCTTCTCCCCTTCCTCTCCCCCCGCCTCCCCCTCCACCTCGTATCTCCCTTGGCTCGCCTCACCCTCGGCTCGGCGCCTGGTCCACCATGCATAGGAGCATGAGGGGATGCAACCTCCAGGGATCCCTGCCTGCAGGCATGGGTGCTATGGCCAGTCTTGCGTACATGTAAGTGCCCTGCGCCCGTGCGCCCCTCCACGCGCGCATCCGACCACGCACCCACCCACGCACCCACCCACGCACCCACCCACGCACCCACCCACGCACCCACCCACGCACCCACCCACGCACCCACCCAAGCACCACCCACGCTCCCACCCACGCACCCACCCACGCACCCACCCACGCACCCACCCACGCTTCCACCCATGCACCCACCCAACCACCCCCCACCCAACCCCTGTGCATTAAGGCTGAGCGGATCTGCTGTGTAAGTATCCGCCAGCAGACCTCAGCGACCACGTGAGCCACCTTGTGAGCCACCTTGTGAGCCACCACCTGAGCCACCACCTGAGCCACCACCTGAGCCACCACCTGAGCCTGTGCGTGGCTGCCCAACCTGTCATGATGATGTTGTCAGGCTGCCAGCACCACGGGAACCTCTCTGCCCCACCAATGAGATTGCTTCATACCTACTTATTCACCTGCCTACCTACCTACCTACCTACCTACCTACCTACCTACCTACCTACCTACCTACCTACCTACCTACCTACGTACCTACCTACCTAACTGCCTACCTACCTACCTACCTACCTACCTACCTACCTACCTACCTACCTACCTACCTACCTACCTACCTACCTACCAAACAACCTACCTACCTACCTACCTACCAACCTACCTACCTACCTACCTACCTACCTACCTACCTACCTACCTACCTACCTACCTACCTACCTACCTACCTACCTACTTACCTACCTACCTACCTACCTACCTACCTGCCTGCCTGCCTGCCTTCCTTCCTGCCTGCCTATGCCACTCCTTGTGATTATCTTTCTTGGCTGACCTGCCTGCTGCATGCTGCCATGCCTCCTCACCAACCATCCCCTTGTGCTGCGTGCTGCAGGGATCTGTCGTACAACAGCCTCACAGGGCCCATTCCAGAGTCCCTGGGAGACATCGCCCCACTTACCTGGCTGTGAGTCCACTCCCCTCCGCTTTACTCCTACTCGACTCGACTCTTCTCAACTCCAGTGCAAACCACCGTTCTCACACACTGAACAACGGTCCGCCCTCGCATGCTCCCGCTTTCTTTTCTTCGTTTAGCTAGGGTTTCCTCCTGCATCTGAGGGGCTGGGGCGGTGTGGTGTGTGTGGGGTGGGGGGTGAGTGGGCGGGGGATGAGAATGGGCGGAGGATGAGAGTGGGCGGGGGATGAGAGTGGGCGGGGGATGTGGGGAGGATGGCCACTCTCTCCTCTGCGCTCCCTCTCCATGTCTCAAGCCTCTTGTTGTCTCGTCTCTTCACCCACCGCTTGCCCTATCATCTTCGCCTTCATCCTCCCCCACCCCACGCCATCTCTCCTTCCCTCCTTCTCTTCCATTTCCGCCCTCCACTCATTTCCACTCTTGCAAATTCCGCCTTCCTTATCAACCATCAACCATCAGCCCATCATCCCATAACCCCGTAACCCTATCAGCCCATCGCCCTGTTACCCAATGAATGACCCCATCACTCCAATATCCACCAGGGACCTGTCTCACAACATGCTCTCAGGATCCATCCCTCCATCCCTTGGCTCGTTGGGGAATCTGGGGGTCATGTGAGACACACCTTTCACACACTACCCTTCCGCACCCTGTTTCCTCCCATCCCAGTTCTACTCAATCTGTCCAGGAGTCTTCACATGTTCGCCTCACGCTCACTCTCACTCTCACTCTCACTCTCAATCTCACTCTCACTCTCTCTCGAATGGTCCTTGCATTGATAAAGTGGTGGTACACTACACGGGTAGATGCAGACACATGCAAGACAAACAAACAAACTTCCTAACTACCACACGCACACTCTCACATGCACGCTCACACACACACAGGACCCTGAGCTTCAACCAACTGTCTGGTGACATCCCTGCTGAGCTCGGCTCGCTTCTCACCCTCTCATACCTGTGAGCCCTTCTCTTGGCATCCTCCTCTTACTCCTCCCAGCCCTCAGACCTCTCCTCACCCGTCAATAGATCCCCCCACCTCTCCCTGCCCTGCCCGCTCCTGTGCCTTACTTCTGCGCTGCGCCGCACACGCCTAACGGGTGCAACAACCTGCTCGGAGGGGCTTTGCAGGGGCTTGGCAGGGAAAAGCAGGGAGTTAGCATTACAGGGCCTTGGCAGGGTCTTGGCAGGGTCTTGGCAGGGTCTTGGCAGGGTCTTGGCAGGGTCTTGGCAGGGTCTTGGCAGGGTCTTGGCAGGGTCTTGGCAGGGTCTTGGCAGGGTCTTGGCAGGGTCTTGGCAGGGTCTTGGCAGGGTCTTGGCAGGGTCTTGGCAGGGTCTTGGCAGGGTCTTGGCAGGGTCTTGGCAGGGTCTTGGCAGGGTCTTGGCAGGGTCTTGGCAGGGTCTTGGCAGGGTCTTGGCAGGGTCTTGGCAGGGTCTTGGCAGGGTCTTGGCAGGGTCTTGACAATGAGACTCACCTGTGCAGCCCTTCTTCTCTCGGCGTGGCAGGCAGCTGAGTCAGAACGAGCTGAGTGGAAGCATCCCAGAGAGTCTCTTTGCACTCGCGAATCTCAACACGCTGTGAGGATATGTGGAGAAGCACGAAACTTGGGGCATCTTCTGGGTTGACCAAACCACAAGTCTATCCAACCTCACGGCTCAGGGTTCAGGGTTTCGGATTCAGGGTTGCAGGTTTTGGGTTGCAGGGTTTACGTTCGGGTTTAGGGTTGCGCTGTTCACGTCGCGCCTTCTGCCTCCCAGGCTGCCAATCGCTGTTGTGTCAGCGGTGACCTCTCAACGTGAACCAATTGTGATGTGAACATGTGTGTGTGCGTGTGTGTGTGTGTGTGTGTGTGTGTGTGTGTGTGTGTGTGTGCAGGGCTCTCAGCATGAATCAGCTCACTGGCACAATCTCTGCACTCAGCAAGCTTGTCAACTTAGTGAGCCTGTGAGTGGTGTTCAAGAAGGAGGGTAACCATGTGTGAGTGGTAACTGTGAGTGGGTGGTAACCATGTGCGAGTGGTAACCATGTGTGAGTGGTAACCATGAGTGGGTTCTAATCATGAGCGAACCAGTGGTAACAATCTGTATCCCGCATACGGGTGTTTATATGCAAACAGGAGTCACGTTTTCTTGTCCTTTGTTACACAGCTGGTTAATCAAGCAGATCCCATCTTTTCCAAATCGCAATCGGTGCCTCTGTACTGAAGCGTAACGGTTACCAGAAACGCACCCTGTGAGAAGGATAATAGAACTGCGCCCTATGCTGCGGGGCAGTCCGAGTCTGGTCGGTACCGCATACTCTTTGAGGAAACTTTTGAGGCGCCTCAATAGCCCTATGCTGCAGGGCTGCCCGAGTCTGGTTGGTACCGCATACTCTCTGAGGGTCTTCAGCATGGGATGCACCTATCTTTTGAGACGTCTCAAAAGTCGTGCACCTATCTTCTGAGACGTCTCAAAAGTCGTGCACCTATCTTTTGAGACGTCTCAAAAGTCGTGCACCTATCTTTCAACCTCCTCTCACTCACCTCCGTTAGGGTTGAGCAAAAACACGAACACCTGTTCGGTTCGCCTCGAACGTGTTCGAGGCGAACCGAACAGGTATTTTTTTTTGGCTTAAAATGTTCGCCGAACAGTGTTCGATGTTCGCCCGAACACGTTCGTGTTCGGGCCGCTGCTGCAATTTGCCCGCGACGAACACGAACAGTGTTCGAGGTTCGCCCGAACACGCCTTCACAGGCGAACGGCGAACACCATTTTTTGCTCAAAGTGTTCGCCGAACCGAACAGTGTTCGGTTCGGCAAACGAAGGTGTTCGTGTAGGGGCGAACACGAACACGTTCGTGTTCGCCACTTGCTCATCCCTAACCTCCGTCATGCATCAATGATTCCTCTCCTTTCACCCCATCGCCACCACCACCACCACCACCACCACCACCACCGCCGCCGCCGCCACCACCACCACCACCATCACCACCATCACCACCACGGTTTCGATTGCGGCTCCCTGCAGGTCACTGGCGTCGAACCATCTGTATGGCTCCATTCCCGCCAGCGTTGCCAACCTTGCTGGTGTAGTAACCTTGTAAGATGCATTCTCTCACACGTGCATGCCTGCACTCCGTCACTTCCTCTCATGCACTCTCGGGTCTCGAGACGTCTCAAATCTCCCTCGCGTGCACTCGCGTTACGTGCTTGCACTCGCGTTACGTGCTTGCACTCCACCTTGCACGCTCGCTCACACACACACTCTCACCATAATTCCAACCACACTCACCACACGCTCTCACTTGCTCATATCATACCACTACTCACCACCCCACACCACACCCTCATACATACAACCCCTCACACTACACTTACCTCATATTTTAGGCCAGAGCCTAAACACTAGCAAGTTTCCCTTATCTCCTTCCACATAACCTTCCTTTCCTGCCTCCATTGCCACCTCCCTCTCCCTCTCCCTCTCCCTCACCCTCTCCCTCTCCCTCTCCCTCTCAATCTCCCTCTCCCTCCCCCAGTGATCTCTCTCACAACCATTTCACAGGCCCCATGGTGAAGCCTGATGGAGTGAGCGCGGACCTATCCAGCAACTACCTCTCAGGCACTCTGACTGAGCCACCCAGTGATGTCTCGCTGGGAGCCAACTGCTTCACTGCGTCCCCTGCAGGGGCCACATGGTTGGCGGAGCAGCGGCCTGAGGCAGCCTGCCGGGCGTTCTGTGGAATCTCCATTCGCTCTGCTGCTGCTGCCTGTGGCGGCAATGGGATGTGCTACCCTGACGGGCCTAGCTTGGCGCCCACCTGCTTGTGTGATGCGGGGTTCGTTCAGTTTGCAAGCATCTACTGCCTTGCGGAAGGTGAGGGAGGGGCGCGAGTGAAAGGGTACATGGATGCATGACAACGGCCGTCATTCATTGGTACATGTGTATGCTTGCGTCCCTCATCCCATCCTTCCCCCCCCTCCCCCTGGCGCTGTCCTTCCCATCCTCCACACTCCCATGCAGGCTCGGTCCTAACCTCCCCTGTGGACAGAGAAATTCTCCCGCCAGCAACCGTGCTCAGTAAGGGAACGATGAAGGAAATCAAGGGCGCGTTTACAGAAGACCCAGTGACCCTGTTCGTGTTTGAGAAAGGCCGGGAGGACGAAGGGTGCGGGTTCGAGCTGGGCTTTAGCGTCAACTTCACCTTTGCCCTTTCACCAAAAGGCAAGGCGGCTTCCAACGGCTTTGCGTTTGTCGTGTCGGCAACAAATTCAGTGGGAACCAACGTTGGGGTTGGGTACGGGGGGGTGGACCCTCGCAGCATGGCGATCGAGTTTGACGTCCTTCAGACCAAGCCGCACGGCGACATGAAAGAGCAGCACGTGGGGCTGAATATCAACGGGCAGGACAAGTCCATTGCCGTTGTGAAGTCCCCATTCCAGCTGGCCAACAAGCAGGCATACACGGCATGGGTGGACTACCAGCCTGGGCTTTCCGGCACCATCCAGGTCTTCCTGGCAAAGGGGGCGGTGACGAGTGCAGGGAAGAGGGCAGGAAAGACGACAGTGGAACCAGAGAAGCCAGCCAAGCCGCTGCTGGAGAGGCGGCTGTCTCTGTGTGAGGTGCTGCGGCCAGAGAAGGGGGAGGAGGAGCAGCTGCAGGCGTTCTACTTTGGCTTTGTGGCGTCCACCACAGTCAAGCCGTTCATGAGCCAAGTCATTCACAAGTCTGCAATGCACGCAGGTAAGGAGCCTCTCTCTTTTCCAACGTCTCAAAAAATGCTCAGTTCTGCCACGCGCACGCAGCGAATGAGTCCACTTGCTGCTGCCGTGCCGCCACTGCCACGGGGTTTGGTTGGCATGACAGCTCAAGCAACCGCCGTGCCCCCGCACGTCCTACCTGACACTAGCGACTTTCAAGGTGCCTCAAAAGCCGCACATCCTACCTGGCACTTAGAGCGGCCTTTTCATGCAGCACCATGCTGGGACACTCTTGTACTCGAGTGGGTAAGAGAGCATGATGGTCATGGCAGGTTGGTGCATGTCCCGCACCTGCTCAGAGACCCTTTCCTCTGTTTCAACCCTTTGCTCTGTGCCAACCCTTTCCTCCGATCCCCTGTAATGATCCCCCACAGACATTCCGCCACCACGGGCGCCAGTCGATGTCACTCCAGGCAAGAAGCCCTTCCTTGCATTTCACATCTTTCCTTTCACTTGCTCGAAGCTTTTTAATATGACAATGCTCAGAAGCGTTTGGCATCGCACTTGATTGCTGATTGGTGTTGCTTTAAATGCTCAAAAGCCTTTGATTCACAAGGTTGCAGTCTGCTTGTGTTGCCACAACTCCTGCTTCTCCGTTTCGCTCCTATAAACCTCCCGAAAAGCTCTCTCTCTCTCTAACCGTATTCCTGGACTTTGCTCAACACGTTGAAGCATCTCCTAGGCTGCTGCTCACTCCCTTTCCACTTCACCTTTTTCTGTGCCGCCCTCTCTCCGTTACTCCTCTTTCCAACTCAATCAGCATTCGGCCTGAGTGTCACAGTGGACACGTATGCGCCGGCACGGGCAAGCCCTTTCCCGCGCTACGTGAGTGCGGAGTGTGAACTGGCGAACAACAATCAGGTCGCATGGTCATTCAAGGACCTCTACTCCTGGGACTCTGTGCCCTTCCTCGGCTGGCCCGTCAAGAACCAGGCCGCTTGCAGTGAGTGCCAAGCCAAGCCACCAGCCAGGGGACTAGGGGAGCTGGACTGGACTGGACTGGACTGGACTGGACTAAAGGTGGGGGTGGGCTCAGATGAGTTTTGAGGCGCCTCAAAGGATGTTTGCAGACTGCAGTGAGTGCCAAGCCAAGTCGCCAGGGGGCTAGGGGAGCTGGACTGGACTGGACTGGACTGGACTGGACTGGACTGGACTGGACTGGACTGGACTGGACTAAAGGTGGGGGCCAGGCAGGGACTTGAGGCACCTAAACGGGTGATTGCAGTGGGTGGCAGCAGAGGGGGCAGTGTGGTTCGAGTGGAGTACAGGTAGGGGGGGGGACAAGGACGACTGTACCGAGTGTCTCCAATGGGGCTAGTGACACTGCATGGGGCAAAGGTCATTCCTTTTGAGAATTCTCAAAAAACATAAAGGTTATACCGTGGCTGCATGGCCTGCCAGTGGTTTCGTCTTGGTCTGCTTTGCGTTTCAGCACACTTTGTCGTCTGCTGGTTTCTCTGCTTCAGCTTCGATTGGTTGGGTGGGTGTGCGGGCGAGTGATCGTTTTGAGACGTCTCAAAACACTTTTGTTATCACCTGCTTCAGCTCTGATTGGTTGGGTGTGCTGTGCGCGCGAGTGATTGTTTTTCCGACTGACTCTCTTGCTCTCTCTCCCTCTTTCAGATGCGTGCTGGGCGTATGCAGTGGTGGCGAGCATAGAAGCAGCATACGGCCTGGCAATGAATGCAGAGGCGCCGCAGCTGTCAGTGGAGTCGCTCTTTGCAGCCATGGGGCTCACCTCTCAACCCGACAAGTGCCCTGGTGGGGGCTCCCCAACAGAGGCCTTTGAGAAGCTGCTGTCTCTGCCGAAAGGGGGCGTCAGCCTGGTCGACAACCCGGTATGCTTTGAAAGGTGGTGGTGATGCTGTTGACATGTCCAACTAGAATCGCGTTAAATTCTGTGCGCAGCAAAACAAACAGAAGGTTGTCTGCTGGTGTAAACGGCCGGGATGCTGAGTCTAGTTGACTCCAAGTGTCACTCTGTTGCCCGTTTAGTTGCTGCTAACAGTATAGTTCTCCGAGGATCTCTTTTGAGTAGACTCAAGACACGTCCCTTAGGTTGCTGCTGCTAACAGTATAGTTCTCCTGAGATCTCCACATACGTCCCAACTGTGCACACACGTTTGTGAATTGCAGGGGAAGAAGTATCCCATCCAGGGGTTTAGAGATTCACACATCTTGTTCACAGGAAGAAGCACCCTATTTAGAGATTCGAGTGCATTTCCTTGATCTATGGCATGCATTATCCGAATGCCACACACTTCTATGAATTGCAGGGGAAGAAGTATCCCATCCAGGGATTTGAGCGCACGTCCTTCAAGGGGTATGTGGGGCTCATGCTGGCAGTGCAGCGGCAGCCAGTGGTGGTTCACATCGAAGCCTCTGCTGCCACGTTTACGAAATATGACGGGGTGAGTGCTGCTGGGAGTGTACTTGCATATCACGTATTTACTGTGCTGTGCAATGCAGTGTGTGTGTGTGTGTGATATGATGCTGGGTCACTGCTGGGCGTATTGACATGAGGGCTGAGTGTTGGGCAGGCATATTTCGATTACCCTCGCATGCTGTATTCATTGGTGTGATGCAGTGTGATGTGTGATGCTATGCTGTGCTTAGCCATGTTGAGCTGGCAGTTGTCGGTCATATTCCTGGTAGTCTCTTTGTCAATAGCGAATTTGGCTCTTTGATGGATGCTTGCATGTGATAGATGCTTGCATGTGATGGATGCTAACATGTGATGAATTCGTGCGATGAATGCCAGACGTTCAAGTACCAGGACCCTGCGTGCTACAGTGGCAACCTGAACCACGTGGTGCTTGTGGTGGGATATTTCATTCTGAGAGATGACGGCAGTCAGAGTCGCATTGCCCCGCCGTTTTGGATCATCCGCAACTCGTGGGGCGAGGGCTGGGGAGACAGGGGCCACATGCGCATGGACATTCAGGGAGGGGATGGCGTGTGTGGCATCAACGTGCTGCCTGGCATCTACCCCATTGTCAAGAGTGAGGCACCTACCCCATAGCCTAGAGTGAAGCCCATCCGCCTGTCTCAAAACTCAGCCATCCTCACCAGAGAGTGAGCGGCACTATTCATATAAGAGAGCGAGCAGCACTAGAGAGCAAATGATTCTCTCTCACTGCCCTGGTGGTGGCCTGCAGTCTCTTTTCCATCTTCGCCTATTCTAGGAACCTATATCGCATTTTCATCCTGTTCTCAATGCTTCACATCTCATTCCCCGCCCTCGTTGTCGCCTGGCAGTCCCAGGGGACCCATGTGGTACCAAGAGCTACAAGGGCGATGGTGACTTGCAGCCCAGCATGAACCCGTGCGGTCGCTTCACCTGCATGCCCAACACCAAGACCAACGGCAACACCTGCGACTGCCGCCTCCCCTCTCTGGACAAGCAGCCCTTCGTGGAGGTTGCAAACGGCTATGGCAACACATGCGCCTATGGTGAGACACACAGACCCATGCAATGCAGCGACTCACAAAATCCACGTGCTTGTTTTTAAAGAAACACCAGTACTTAAATGTCCTTTCCTCTCATCCCCCCCACCACCGGTGGCATTATAGCAGTGGACTGTATGGGCTGTGCTTGAGGCACCTTTTTAGCCTTCAGCCCTGCTCTCATCCCCCGCTACCACCCCCTCTTACCCTGTCTGGCAGTGGACGTGTGTGGGTCGTACTTCAAGAACCCCTGTGCCGTGGGCACATGCATCAACGATGGCAAGGGCTCCTACTCCTGCATCTGCCCTCCCAACCACGTCCCCAGCCGAACCATCGATGACTTCCCCACCTGCGACCCAGGTACGGTCCCCTGCCACCCAGGTACGGTCCCCTGCCACCCAGGTACAGTTAAACGCTGCTGCTCCCCACCTGCCACCCAACCCAAGTGCGCTCCCATCAACTGCTGCTCCCTCCCCCTCTTGCCATCCACGTGTTGCTCCTTTCGCCCCAGCCACCGAGGTGCTTCCTCTTCCCCTTCCTCCTCCTTCCTTGTATCAGGCTCGCTCTGGCCTCCAACCTTGTGCTGCTGCGGTTGTAACGCCATTGGCCTCTTCTGTTCGTGCCAATGGCGCCGTAGTCGTGAGATATGCCAAGTCACGCGCCCACTTCCGGCTTTTTTTTCTGGTTTGGCTGCAATGCCGCAGCTTTCAGTCTGCTTGCAGTAGATCTTCCCCCAACTCATAACGCTACTCCTCTTCTCTTGCCGTTACCATGACGGTGCCTCTCGTAATGACCGGGGCACAGCACTCACCGGCCCAACTTATCTCCTCCTTTCACACCTGCCTTGCCCCCTCTTTCCACCCGACCATTCTCCTGCCTCCTTCCAGCCAGCGCAACAGTCACGAGCCTGACAGTGAGCGGCGACAAGTGGACGTGCGCGGACGTGTATGGCCTCGTGGGCCTCTCAGAAGCGCAGTTCACCCAGCAGAACCCGGTGAGGGGCTGGCGAGAATGGCTGGCGAATATGGCAGCTGAGAGTGGCAAGCTTGGCGCAGCAGCATGCATGGCGCAGCAGCATGCATGGCAGGGTAGCATGGATGGCGGCAGGGTAGCGGGCATGGGATGAGCAGGAGGGGGTGGTATGGGAGAAGTATAGGTGGAGGATGGGGTTAGCCAGAGTCGATCAGTTCACTCTGTTTCTCCGCTCCTTGAGGACGAGTGCTCCTGCCTTGCCCATTGCTCTCAAAACAGCACTTGTTCAAGTGCGCTCGCTCAAAGAAAGACCACACGCACACGCCCACGCACACGCCCACGCACACGCCCACGCACACGCCCACGCACACGCCCACGCCCACGCACACGCCCACACCCACGCACACGCCCACGCCCACGCCCATGCCCATGCTTCCATTGCAGGATATCGTCTGTTCCCAGGCGTTGCCCAAAGAGGCGGTGCTCAAGATTGCCGGCACTCCCGCCATCCCCTGCACGGGATTCTTCTACACCCTCAACGTGAGCTCCTGCTGAAAGGCCCCTGCCATGCTTGTTCTTCCTTCACCTTCACTATCTAGGGATGTGCACAATGGGTGGGAGTGGTCTTCCCATAATGTCTCGCTGCCTTGTTCTCCATCTGCTCACATTAGCTGCTCACATCCATTGCCGCTCCCGTCGCATGTCATTTGCTTCAACCATCACCACAAAGTCACCACCATGAACAAAAACCCTTTCCACCATCTCCTTCCATTTGCCACTACCTCACCCCACCTCACCCCACCTCACCCCACCTCACGCCACCTCACGCCACCTCACGCCACCTCATGCCACCTCACCCCACCTCACGCCACCTCACCCCACCTCACGCCACCTCACGCCACCTCACGCCACCTCACGCCACCTCACGCCGGATCCCATCTCCTCTCTGCGTGTCTCCGTCTCTCTCCTCCCTCCAGGGTGACAAGTGTAACTCCATCGCCTCCTCAATGGGTATAACCAAGGACGACCTCATGGCTCTCAACCCAGGCCTCTCCTGCACGCAAGCCATCAAGCCCGGCCGCTCCCTCTGTGTGGAGCGCAACGCCAGCTATGCCTACACAGTCCCCAAGTGTGTCAAGTACGCCACACTCACGGCGCAGGACACGTGTGGGAAACTGCTGGAGGGGGCAGGCAACCAGAAGGTTGAGCCCTCCTCCTGGGCTGAGCTCTACCGCAACAACCCCGGCCTTGTCTGCTCGGGTGCCATCCCTAGCGGTGCCTCTGCTGTTGGCAGCAACACTGGTGTGCAGGTGAGCGGTGGAAGGGTGTGGGGGGAGGGGAAGGGGCGGGAGAGGAACAAGCGGAAAAGATAAAGGTACAAGCATTTGGAAAGGTGGGAGGAAGAAGCGAGGGGTGAGGTGTCTATGGGCTGAGTGGGTGAGGTGTGGTAGCATTGGGGATTTGGCCAAGTGCTTTACTAGACTTTCAAAATGTCATTTTTTAAGCTCGAATTGGATATACAGCAGTTGGGGGGCAAGTGTGTGACGGTTTGTACCATCCAGGAGTATGATTTTTCTCCAGTCACGTGGGCACAACTGTAGTAGACCAGTTTGGTCCTGGACTTGAAAGCATCCAATATCTCCTTGTTGGGTTAAGTTTCCATTGCCTTTCATATCCTTTTCCTCAAGAATTCTCCGTGCTCTTCCTCTTGGCCCTTGACTCTCTGGTGCCCGAGATGTGTCTCAGGCCAGAGTACTGGTCGCTTCAGCTCGGCCAGTGGGGGGAATAGGTGGACGGGAGGGAAGTTGGGAGGACATAACTGCTACTGTTAATCTCTGCTTCACCAGCCATCTTTCCTCCTGAGAACCTTGTCTTTCTTTCCCCTCTTCGCGCATCTTGCTACCCCAGGTGTGCCTCAGGGCGGAGTACTGGTCGTTTGAGCTCGGCAGGTGCACCAACGGCCGGCAAAAGCCAGTGAAGCCGTCGCTGCCGTGTTCCGGTGCTTACCGCTTCTATAGAAACACTGGCATGAAGGTGGACGACGCGTTCGACTATTACAACGGAGGGAGATGTGCCGGAACGGTTGGAGGCGATTACATCTGCGTCAAGTAAAAGGCACTCTTTTGATTATCAACACAGTCTTCGCACGTTGCGTTACGTATAGTGCACTGCACTGCACAGTTTGCATTCTGGCAGGTGTATTTGTTACTGTCCGCCGTCCGGCCGCTCGCTCAGTATGTAAACGTATGGCAGGCAATCCCCTCCATATCTTCAAGCGTAGCTTAGAGTACGGTACTACGGTACTTTTCTGTTCTAGACTGCACATTGTGGCTCCGTTCATTTCCATCTCTCAGTTTTGTACCACTATTTGTTGTATCGTAATGTATTGCATGCAATCTGCAGTATTAACTTTGTGTGAACAAGTTCCACTGCGGGTATGAATCAAAATAAATTACCCACCCTGTAAGGAAAATTCCTTTTCCTTACTTTGCGTCCCCGCTCGGCGCGTACACCACTGTAGCACCACAGTTAGCACCGTTACCACTCGCAACCCTCACATCGACAATCCTCCCGCCACCTTCGCACGTCGCACCCCGACCTCACGGCTCGGCGGGTAACCCGCGCTCCGGGCCTCCGCTTCGATTCGACACTTTTCGCAACCTCAGTCCCAGGCCCGTCACGCGACAACCACAGTCCATTACCGTTACCACTGTAGTTTCGCTATATAGTCTTCGCTCATGCCTTCACTCATTGTACTCTTGCTTCGATAGTGCAGTTCTCGTTCGTTCACTCAATTGCACTCGTAACACTTGGTATTCAGAGCCTACGATCTCTTCTCGGACCGCACCCACACCTTCGCTTCCCCACAATCTCAATTTTGGGGGGGGGTAGACGTCTCTCAGCGACACAGCACCGCCGCTCGTAGTGCTCTCTCGTAAGCATGCACGGCCACGACCGAGGCTCTCGCTGAGCTCGCCTGACACCCCCGCCATGGCCGAATTCACGCTCGCCACATTGACGCATGAGCAGCTCGACCGTCTGGTGCACCAACTTGAAGATTCAGCGCTCGAAATTGCGAAGCTCACGGCGGAACGTGACTCCGCGCGTCAGCAATCAACGATGAACACTCCAGCGCCACCACACGCACCGACAAACGCATCTGCACAATCGGACGAGCCGATCGTCATCTCGGCCGGCACACCAACACAAAACAACAGCGTGGGACAGCGCTCAGGCGCAGCCAGCGATGGCGCCGCCCAGCCGATGCCTGGCATGGGAGGAAACAGGGTCACACCAAGCCCGCGGGCGGCGGGAGCTTGCGAAGCCCGTCGGCACGTGGAGTTCGCGGCGACAAGTGGCGAACAGGCCATTATGACACCAATGCCACTTAAGCCGCAACGCCCGCCCTGCTTCGACCCGAGCCAGCGTGGAGGTCCGACGGTTCAATCGTGGGTCTTCACGATGAACGTCTTCTTCGACGCGAATTACGTCGAGTCGGACGCAGCGAAGATTCGGTATGTCGTCTCGCTACTAAGGGGCCCCGCCATGAACTGGTGGCGACTCATCGTGACGTCGCCACGCGCCTACGAGCCACCGTCGCAAGAGGGAAGGGCCCACGGGTCCAGCTGTCACCTGGAGTTCATTCTGCGAGACCGCCCAATACAGCACGCGGGATGCGTGGTGCGCAGGGCTTTGGGCGCGCTTCGAGCCGATCACGGCTTCTATTTCGGCGCGTCAGAGATTGCGCACTTGGCGACAGCTCGGATCGGTTCAAGACTATACGAGTGGTTTTCTCGCATTATGCGAGCAAGTCGGCTACATGCACGAAGCGGAGCGGGTGGACCGTTCCGTCGAAGGGCTGAAGCCGGACATCTCGCACGAAATCATGCTATGCGGGCTCTCGAACTTCAACGAGATTCTCGCGCTCGCCGAGAAAATTGACATTTTAAGCCGTGCGAGACCGGGGTCCTACGGTGAAGAAATGAGGAATGAATGAACTAGCAAGCAGGTGGGTACAAGTAGGAAACCTAGAAGTGTTGTACCCTATAGTGTCTACCCCACTACAGCCTAGACAGACTTTAGTATAAGAGTTTGACACACCCCCATAGGCAAAGTGGGGGAGAACAAGAGGTCACAAGACCAGTCAAGCAAAGCAAAGCAAGCTCAGGGTGGATCACAACTTCACCACACATTCCGAGCACAAGTTCAAGGCCAGAAGGCCAGTTCACATGCAAGATCATATATATAAAGGTAAACAAGCAAGTGCAGGTATAGAAAGATGACAGTACAAGCAAGTTCAAGAAGTGAGCAAGTGAGGCCAAGTAGGCACAAGACCTAGCATCGTACAGAAGCGCTGATGATCACAAGGCGGAAGTGCCTTGGTAAAGATATCAGCAGTGTTGGCCTCAGAGGCCACGTAAGCAAAACGCAGCTGACCACGCTGCTGCAGCTCACGAGCAAGGAAGTAGTGAAGAGCAATGTGCTTCGTTCTGTGCTCCAGTCTCTGCTCCCGACACAAGGCCATCATGGCCTTGTTGTCTACGTACAGAACTGGAGGAGAACGAGGCGCCACTCCTAGGTTAGTCAGCAGGTAGGTGAGCCAGCGTAGCTCCTGTGCAGCCATGGCCCCCGCGTAGATCTCAGCCTCACAGCTGGAGCGGAGAACAGAAGACGAGCGGGTAGACCCAGGGCTTCAGATTCGTTTTGGGCCACCCTTAGTAATCAGGGTTCTAGGTATAGTCAACCCTGATGCGTAGGGTAAAATTTTTGTTTCCCTGACAAATGCAGGGTAAAAAAACAGTTAGTCTGTTTGGGCAGGGTATCCTTAAAAACTTATGGATAGTGATGAGTCCGAAGCACTCAATATCAATGGCTAGTAGTTCAGCTGGTTTAATTGCAAAGTATATCTATGAGGTCGCAAGTTCAACTCTCGCTGATTGTACCAATTTTGCAGGGACCTGTATAGTGTTTCGTCTCGCTACGGAGCACTCAGTACCAGTATAGCTTGGATTGTGCACTGTACAGTCAGAGTAATGTGTTCATTATGCTGTTTTTCAACAGGTATTGAAAAACTTGCACTTTCTGGCCTAGGGTAAAAAATCCACTACCCTGCCTGTGAAAGGGTAACTGAAAAAAAGCGGCCGCAAGTCAGTGCAAAAAGGGTATTTTACCCTGATAACGAGAGGCCTGGGTAGACCGCCACGAAACAGAGCCGGAGCCAAGGCTGAAGGTGTAACCCTGTGACGACCGCTGCGTAGCCTGGTCGTCAGCCCAAGAAGCGTCTGCGTGACCTGTGAGGACCACTCGACGTTGCCCTCCAAGCACTAGCCCCATGCCCGACGTACTGCACAAGTAGTGCAACACCCTCTTCGCTGCAGCCATGTGCTCTGGTCGGTGTCTCCCAGGAGCAACATAGCGTGCCAAGATGCTAAGAGGGTATGCAAGGTCAGGTCGTGTGCAGGTCATCAGGTACATGAGGCAGCCAACAAGCTCTGGGTACGGGCCACTCGGCTCTACGGACTCATCCGAAGGCAGAGCTGAGAGTGAGTGGCGAGTAGACAGAGGAGTGGCCTGAGGCGAGGAGTACGTGAAGTCGAAGCGCTGAAGGACCTGCTACACCATGTGTGACTGAGTCAGGGTAATGGTGCGCTGTGCTCTGTCCCGGGTGATCTGCAAGCCAAGGTAGCTGCGCAGTTCACCCAGGTCTGTGCACGTGTGTCTCTTCTGCAGCTCGGACTTCACGTGGGCGAGTCCAGCAGTGTCAGCGGTGGCAAAGACCAAGTCCTCGACGTATACGAGGATGTAGAACGGCAGCTAAGAGGTGTCGGTGTGCAGAAACAGCGACGGGTCGGCAGTAGAAGGAGCAAACCCAAGAGCCGCAAGTGTAGTCCCCAGTGTGTCGTGCCACTCACGGGGCGCCTGGCGGAGACCGTAGACTGGCCGCCGGAGGCTCCACTGGGTACCAGGAGGAAACGACCCAGTGAAGCCAAGTGGGCGGCGCAGCCAGATCTCCTCGTGCAGGCTGCCCTGCAGGAAAGTTGTGTTGAAGTCAAGAGAGTGAAGCTCGTAGTCGCACAGAGCGGCTATGTGCAGCAGTACCCAAAGAGTGTTCATCTTCGAGGTGGGAGAGAAGGTCTGAAAGTAGTCAACTCCCTGCCGCTGACTGAAGCCTCGAGCCACGTAACGCGCCTTGAAGATAGGCAAAGAACCGGGCGCCCGCTTCACCCTAAAAATTCACATGCCACTGACGATGTTCGTCCCAGGTGGGGGAACCTTGTCGACGTAGGTGCTTGTGGACTTCTAGAGAGCCATCTCTGCGTCCATGGCTGACTCCCATTGTGAGGAGTATGGACCCTCGATCGCCTCAGCGTATGATCGAGGAGCCGCGATGTTTGGTGCATCCGGGTCTCCCTCAAGGGCAATCAGCGTGGACACGAGATGAGGCAAAGCAACAGCAAAACACTGGAACTCCTCCTGCGCGTCCTCAAGCACGTCCGTGCTAAGAGCACAACCACCCCTGACGGACGGAGGACAGACAGACTCAGACTCAGCAACGAGACTAGTGGCGTAGTCTAGACGACAGCGAGCAGCAAAGTCGACAAGCTTAGCAACTAAGGCAGACGTAGCAGTGGACTCAAAAGAAGCGTCAATGACAACAGTGGCCAGGAGACGCGTGACAGTAGGACTGGCAGCACGAAGACAGTCAGACGCCGGGTCAGCAAGAATAGGAAGAGAGGACTCTGGAGGAGACGGCAACGGGACACGCAGAGGAGCAGTGGAAGGACGCAGTGCCATCTGGTGTGTGCGTGGGACCGCAGAAGGACGCGGACGCGGAGCACGACTACTAGTGCGAGCAGCACGAACAGGCGACGCAGGGCGAGACGCAGGCTCACGACGCTCAGCAAGACCTCCAGTAGGACCAGCGTAGGGAGAAGGAGCAGGTAGGGGGGAGGCGGGCTGTAACTATGACCGCGACTGGACATGGTGTGGACACTCTAAGGGAGGAGCAGGACCAGTAGAGGGCGGGAGACCAAGAACTTGCTCAAGGAGCGGAACGAAGTACGGCCGCGGCCGCGCAGCGCCTCCAGAACCAGCAGGGACAGCACCAGTAC